AGGCTGAACTCAATGATGCTCCATCAATTCTGCGACGATTGGCAGAGGTGAATCCTTTCACAAGGGCTGTGAAGAAAAAACGTAGTGTACAATTCAGCTTGTTTAAAATTTCCACAATGAGAACTTCAATACTTTTCTTTTTCAGCTCATGGGAAGATGACGTTTCTGGTAGATCATGTGGAATCTCAGAATCAAAACTAAATGACTGCAGGTGTCGACGAGTCCTCCCACCCCTCATTCGGGCTATTGCATGTCGAGTACGACCATGAATACCTTCACCAGAACGCACAACAGAGAGAATATCACGATCCCCACCCCAAATAGACTGAGAGCTGCTGCTTCTAATGGATACAGGGTTTGTGTATCGATCTGCTGCTGAAGCATTGCTTGAATCCTCATCACTCTCTCTTTCAACAGTACTAGATGACGCTGGAACTGAATTATCAGGTCCTGGATCAACACTCTTCTTTTCATCTTCCTGGGTATCACTACACAAAGCCATCTGCCAAATCGTTTCCTTGTAAGTTAGACCAAGTTCTTTCAGTACATCAGCATCAGCAGCACTCAATTCCGAGATAACTGAAGCTGTTCCTTTCAACAGAAAGTTGGAGAGGGACAATATGCCTTCTAGGCAGGTAAGAGATCTCAAAATCTTCATCTGGACCGCAGAGTCTAATTTAAGAAGCTGGGTGCCTTTTATAGAAGCCAAAAGACCATTTGTGTTCTTCAGATGTTCTCTTAAAAAGGAGCACACTATCCTGGCTAGACCAGCCGAATGCTGAGGGGAGAAGTTCTTAAAAGCGACAGAAAAACTTTGACCAAGAGAGGTTGATAGAGGCATAAGAGGTGAAGAGAATAGCTGCAAAACAGCATCAATTCCTTTTTTCTCAACAAACAGGGAACATACTTCCGCATTCTGAAGAACTGTTTCAAAGAGACGAGCAACATTACACACACAATCTGGAAGGAATAGCTCAATATTTGCCGGACTTGTATCAGAAGATGGTTCCACCTCATCTGAAACCGCCAAACTCTTATCCTCAGCATCAATTTCCATAGGAACGGGAGCAGCATCAGTAGGCGCATCCGTTGACATAGAAGTGGTGGCCTCCATCCCAGATCCAATATTCAACAAGGAATTGAGGATTTCAATAAACATATCAACTCCATAAGTGCGCAACGAAGACTGGTGTCTTAAAAGTTCATCAAGCCCACTAGACAAAGAACCAGGTGTATCACCAGTAAGAGCCCGCAGATACGACGGAGAAGTGAATATTTTAACAAAGCACCTCAAGGCATTTCGATCCTTTACAGCTTGAAGGCCGCTATTGTTGAGACATAGAGCATCCAGACACTGTGGAATGCATGTTATGGCTTCTGCAGAGCAGATGACCTCATCAGATATAGCATCAAGAAACGCAGATGTTAAGCCAGCTGAATCTAAAGCATTGAAACAAGTGGGATCTTTATGAATGAGATCACTCATGACAGTGGCAGCAAGGGAGAATGCTCCACCCCCAAAGTCTTTTGCTCTCTGGAAGATAATGCATAAGCATTCAGGCAGCAAGCTCTCCTCGGAACCATAGAGGTTAGTGTTACCAGGAGCATAAGTTCCAAGAGATATTGCACGTAACAACGCTTTTAACAACAATTTCCTGTGATACGAAATTAATGCTTCAGAATAGGGAAGCTGTTCAGTATCACGCTGATTCAGAGAACCACCAAGAGCATGTGATTCGGTCCCATTACTATCTGAACTGCAATTTTTTTCTTTCGCATCTTCTTCAGTATGAGAGACTTCCAGTTTCAACCGAAAGATAGTATCATCTAAGCCACCCAAATCTCTGAACAAAGCAGCAGCTGGATTGCTGTAATCCATGAAGGCTTCTAATATATGCACAGCAGTACTGACCAAATGCAAGTGCTGGGGATCTGTATCTTTGATGAGAGGCACTAGGGTCGGAATAAGACCAGCTTCTCGCATGGCTGAACATCCAGACGATGATGAAACCAGGACTGTAACAAATGATAACAAGGCTTCCGCAAAAGCCAGAGACCATTTAGAAGTATTACAAATAACAGAATCAATCGCTTTTTGCATTAGGCCTGATAGCAAACCACGATGCCCGCCAGAGGTCACTGCAGTTAAAACATTTGGCTGCCGAGTTCGATCTTGCGACAGTGCAACCAAGGAAAGCAAGCATAGCATCCTTATTTTCTCTGGGACATCCTCATAGCTTACCAGTGTAACTAACTCATTTACAAACTCAGGCTCGCCATTAAAGAAAGAAACAACATTCTCAGTGTCACCGCTTGCTTGAACCAAAACAATGAAAGCATACAAGCGAATGCATGTATACTGCTGCCGGGTTGCCAAAGACGAGAACGCCCTTGCAAATCTCAATCTGGTCAACAACGCGAATCTTAAACTAGGAGGAACATTGTGATCAATGACTAATTTTTTCAGAAGTTCCAGGTCAGACTCTGAATGCTTGCTAACATCAGGTACATGGATAACTTGTAAACCGCCAGCAAGCTCACTTGATGATTCATTAGAAGCATAAAACTCAAAATGAAGAGTACAGCCTAGCTGGTGAGAAACCTGATCACAATTGTTTCCTGTGGCACATGACGTCAAGCCAAGACCTTCCTCCTTTCCACCCCAGCCTTGTGCAAGGGAAAATAGTTTTGAATTCAAAGAAGCATCTCTTATGGAGTATTTTCCAATTTGCCTCTTCAAAAAGGCAGCCAGCGTCTGCAGACAGGCTTCAACGACGTCTGCATCAGTAGATGCAAGCAGGAGAGAAAGATGCTGCTGCAGTTATGAGTAAACAAGTGTGTGAGAATTATTCAGGCAAATATTTCAACAATAAGCATATAAAACGACATATCTAGCAGAACAACCAGAAATCTAACATAGAATATCAGTTGATAAACATTAGTACCGACTTGTACAGGGTGACACCAGTTTAAGGGAACCATGCAAATATCAAGTGATAATATTTTGGGGAATTTTGGCACAGACTTACCTCATAAGTGCTATAAAAATGTTTGTTTGTGCAGTTCTCCAAAACAACTCTGATAACTCGGAGAATTTGAAGGACAGCATCCTTTGGGAAACAAGGATCAGATTCCTCAAAGTTTTCCTCAATATGCAGATCCTTCCTTACTTTGATGTGCTTCTCAAAAAATGTGTCAAAATGATTGAAGAGGTCCACCCAGTGATGGAAGTCACCCTGTATAAAGGACAAAAGCCATAAATCAAAAACGAGAGTAGTGAGAATTCAAAGAAACAATTTCACAAACGGTACTTAGTGTACCTTGTCGAATACCCAGCGAAAACATTGGAGGGGTTCATGTATTTGCTCGAGTGGAACTGCGGTAACACTATCGATGAATGATTTGATTTTAGGAGGCTGTTACAAATGAATTAGAGAAGGGTTAACACAGCCAATAGACACAACATCAAATTGAATAGAGAAACATGTAACTGGAACAGATACTAAAGACAACACTCTACTGAAAACCATTACCAACGCCTCCAAGGTTTGGCTTTAACAACTCAAAACCCCATTACAACAATCAAAGGAACCAATCAACGCTTGAATATCATCATATGGATAAAGCATAGACCAAAAACATCAGAAACACCACTGAAACCATTCTTTTGCATAGATTGAATCAGCAACAGAAACCTAAAGAGTAATCTAGAAAGTACATGAACACAAAAATGCAATAGGAATCCAAACAATCAAAGGGTTTAATTACATGGTTTAGGAACACTTACCACTTCCGAAGCCCTCCTTCTTCGAAGCTTCATGCCTTAGAGACACAGGGCATCTCCTGAAGCAAAACTAAAGATTGAGAGCACTGATCAACAAATCCTAAACACGAGAAAGAGAGAGAAAGAGAAAATTGATCAATACACACAGATTAAGAACTGATAATCACTTGTGAAATGGTAAGGAATCGAATCAAAAAAAAAAAAAAAATACCCACAGTGATCTGGTTCAATAGCTGGAGGGATTGCGATCGCT